CCAGAATTATTGTGTACACACCAGCTTTTCTGCACAGAGAGGCAAGGGATGGTTTATTTCAATAATCTGCTTTTTGCTGTGCTGGATTCCAGCTTCCTTAGAGAAGGATTTTCAGCTGCTCTGGAGGCTTGCAGTGATGAGGTGACACAGTTATTTGTACAGCCCAGGAAAGGGTACAGCAGTTCAGGGCAGTATAAACCAACTGCATGGAATCCATTCCACACTGGCTGCTTTTTTGTTCTAATCACAATTCAGGACCTGCCAATACGACTTTAAGCAGATTTTCTTTCTTTTGTAGTAAAACTTCAGCACAAACAGCAAGCCAAGAAGACAACCTCTTGCTGCAGAATGCTTTATTTTACTGCATGGAGTCATTTTTCCAAATTTTCTAATTTTAATTTCTAATTTCAATTTCCTAATTTCCAAATTTTTTTCCTAAAAGCTTCATAAAGCTCATTGTAGTTATTTTCTTTTGAAAAATCCTCTTTGACCAGTACTTTGTTGAAGTAGGAAGAGTCTTTATTTATCTCTTCCCTACCCTCTGTACCTCTTCTCTCACACTACACACAGACTGATTCTGGATGTAAACCTGGTACACCTCAGGAGCAAGGTCCTGCTACATTCATTGCTGAATTAATGCACAGATACCTTAACTCATCATTGCTTCAAGGCCAGGAATGATTCCCTTCAGCCCATGCTCTGCTTACAGAATCACTGTGGCCCTCCCCATGGGGTTTGCTCTCTTCTCTTTCACCTTCTTACGTGTCAATGTATTCCCCTGGATATTTGAAAGCTTCGTTTGTCTCAACAAATGTGTCTAATCCTTGATTTGTGTGGATATAATTTTGGAAAAATGCTGTAGCATAAGTAGAATTAAATGTGTGGTGTGTTTGGGGGAATTAGCTCCTTGCTCAATTAAATGAAATTAAATCTGTTGCTTCTGTGAGCTGCCTGGTTTCCCCTGTGTCCTGCATGGCACGATGATATCTGATGTGACAAGGTTTTTTCACCATCTGCATATCTGCTTTTCTCACTGCTGTTAGACTTTGATTTGCTGCTTCAGGGAAGAGAACTTTCCTTGAGAAGTTTCTGTAAACACACAAATGTTTTCCCTGTACTGGAACTGAAGTTTTGCACTGAATGCTGGCATGGCCTGCGCTGAGCATCAGTGGGAACCAGAGTTCCATGTGCTGCTGACAGCTTTGAAACACAACAATGAAAGTCACTTTATCAGCTCTTTGTGCTCTTTAGATTTATTTTCAGAGAATCTGTGTAACAGTTGGATGTAATTCGATAGCCAAACAATGAACAAGAACAAACCAGTTTCAATTACTTGCTACTTGATCCTTGGAATAAACCCAGCTAGTAATAAAAGTTCTAAATAATTTAGTAAATAAGACGCTGAAATAGGAATTTGTGCCCATCATCTGGAGATGGATTCCAGTTAGGTTATCACAACACTGTTCTGCAGGAATTCAAAACCTGAACAGATTTATACCTTCATCTTCTGATTTTTAACATGAAATATTCAATATTGAGATTTTTTTTTTTACAGCATACAGTGTTCTGTAATTAATAACAAGTATTATTAATAAACATTAATCTTTCAATCCAGCTGTGTGTGAAAGGTTCACAGGTCCAACCTGCTCTCAGAATACTGAATTAATTCCTCAAGGAGGTCTGGAAACCCACTGGTGTTCCAAGGTGACACAAGACATTTATAAAGCACAGTTGGAGGATATTTCCAAGAAAACTAAACATAGTTGATGGCACCATCATTCAAATTCTGCTTTTGATTGATTGTCAAGTTAAGACTAGCATGTCCTCTTTGTTTCTCTCGTTCCAGTCCATGCAATCTAAAAGATTTATGGATAAAATCTGGAGTGTCAGTCTCACAAAGTGAGAAATTGCAGTTTTTATCATGGAACAAGACAATTTGACTGTTTTTTAACACCTTGGCAAGAGTTTATGACAAGAATAGACAAAAAAGAAATACAGAGGAAACTTTCCCATCAGACTAAACCAAGGTGAAATATAGAATTTCCAAAGTGCAGAAGGTTGAGGTTATTTTTTTTTTCACTTGAAGATAAAATTTCAAAAGCTCTGGAAGGTGGTTTTCAGAAGTTTGGCAGATGCCTCAGTGTTTCAGAACAGTTGTTAGTGTTTTTCCTGGCCACTTCTCCTCCCATCAGGGTGGGTATTCAGAGGATGCAGTTTTATGTTTCAGCTGGACTCATGAGCTGTGGGCAGTGACCAAGAAGGGAGGGTTTGTTTCCTCTCCAAAGCTTTTCCTTCCCTCTCCAGTGTGTCGGTGGTATTGCTGCTCTGACCCCACAGTGAACTGATTCAGAGAGCTAAGGCTGTAGAAAACTAACACTAAAACCAAGGAAAATAATGGCTTTTTACTGATGTGGTGCTTTGATCCATCCTGGGGTCAGGAGAGTGCCAGTGCTGTGACTGGGGTGTGCAGCCACAGGCAGGATGAGTGGGAGAGCTCTTAATTAATGTAAATGTGGTGTAAATGGAGATTTCTAGCAGTTTCATCAGGTTAAAGATTATTTCTGGATCATCTCTGCCGCTGCTGAGAAGGGTTTTGTGCTCTCTGCTTGGTGCCCTGCTTTCCTGCATCCTCCTGTGTGGTAGCATTGCTGATTTATGGTTTGTTGGATCAGGAGGTTCAGCTGAAGACTAAGCAACAACAACAACAAAGAGAATTTCAGCTTCACAGAAGTTATTCTTACATAGCAAGGCACGAGGTAGTGTGACTTTGTCCTTTGTGACAGCAGCACAAATAAATTTCCTTAGGTCAGTTTTGATGTTGCACTGTAAGTGTTCATGTAGGAAAAGTTTATTTGCCAATTCATTGGCTCTCAGCTGCTGTGTGTGCAGGTTTGAAGACCTTCTGGAAGGATAAGATCCTGAAATCATGTGTGCCATCATCAGTCTCTGTTTTGCCCGTGTGATTCTCCTCTGGTGTCTCTGCTGAGATGAGCAGTGAGCCACAGAGCACTGCTGGTTTTAGGAGAGACATCAGTGTGGGATGGTCTGCTGTAAAATCATCATCTGTGTTAACATCAGTGCCTTTTGGACATTTTCTCTTAAATTTTTCATAATAAAAATAACAATAATATAAATAAAATAATTATTTTATTATAAAATAACATACTTTCATCATAGATAATAAATTATAACAATTAATATATTCAATATGTACTAACTATAATTTAATAAATAATATAATTTAAGAATGTAGTTATTATAATTCTAATGAATATTATAAAATAGCAGTATATAATTATTTATTATTACGAAAGAACCTGTTCTGTCTGGTTTCACTGGAGTGTCTGTGTCAGTGTCATCTGGGATGTTTGGGAGGGATGCTCTTGGCACGTGAGGGCACAGCTGATGGCTTGGAGCTCCAGCTCAGAGGTGAAGTGCATTCCTGATCCCTGAGGGACCTGGCAGCTCTGAGGAAATGCCGTTCTGGCCTCTCCAGACACATTTCACAAGTACCCACGGGCTCAAGGGTTTCTTTTGAAGTTTTTGTGTCTTTCAGAAATGAGATTCAATGCAATGCCCTCTGGCCTGGCTTTTCTCCCTGCTGCTGTTTTCTTTTGGGATTACTCTTTGGTCATTGTTGGGTTCAGGCCATACTCAATTGCCCCTGTAATTAATGTGCAGCTAATAACCATGTACTCAGTAATCAAGGCTGCTCTGCTTTTCTGGGGTTGTTTTGACTCTTTCAGCTCCCACTGACTCTTGGGGGGAGAATTTTCCATTTAACACCTCTGAACTGGAGTATTTCGTCTCTGGACAACCTGCTGATGAGTTAAGACATTAGGTGATAGAATTGATTTTAAGTTTTAAGTGATTTTATGGTAGAATTGAAGTGTCTGGATGAAAATGAGTCACCCCCAGATTCTTTTAGGGACAATGAAGTTCTGTTGGCATGCTGTGTGCTTCACCTGAAGTTTGGGCAAATGCCTGTTAGAAAAGTGGCAGTAGGTCATCTGCCAAATTTTGATTGGATTTCCGATTTAATTAATTTGGACAATTGGTTTAAATGTCTTTATTTGGTTTAAGTCCATGTTTATCTGTGGAAATTGATGTGGCCAACATAAGAGTTTGCGGAGCTCCCTCAGGCTGACATCAAGAGGAGCACCTTCAAAATGTAGCTGCTGAGCTGCATGTGACAAATGTACACTCTTCACTGAAGAGCTTCAGGTGCACAGGAATATTAATATTACCACTGTAACGTGAAATTGCCAGCTCACAGATCAGCACTGTCACTTGACTGACAGCAGTTGTGGAGTTGGTTTTTCCTGCCCCAGCGTGTGCTCTGCAGTTCCTGTGTCTCTGCTGGAAGCAAGCACAAGCTCCTGCCTTCACTTTGCACCTTGTGTTTGACAAGTTCAGTCTCCTCTTTGCCTGGATGCTTCATCTTGTGCAAAAGAAAGAACCAGTTTACCTCCTGTCGTCCACATTCTGGCTTATTTCACAGTTATACTTGCAACAAGTTTGTTTGAAGCTTCCAAGACCCATTTGTATAGTTCTTGGCTGTCACAAATGAAGAGATGAACTTAATAGTTACTCCCTTTTCTCTACTTAAGGCTCTTCCTTTCCAAAAACCTTTAATTGTAGGTACTCCTGGGTAGCAAATCCACAGTACTCAGGTGATGTTTAAAACAAATTGCATTTTAACTTGTTCAAGCTTCATTAGGATTTAAGTGTCTTTGGCAGAAATAAAAGAAAGTTCCAGTGAAAGTTCATACTTAATATATGTATAATAAATATAAAATGGAAAAAAAATCAGTGCTCAGGAATTGTAGAGTTCAGTTTAAGAACTTGAACTTTCCGTGATTCTTCTCAATTACTTCATTTCCATATTAACAACATCATTATTGATAAAGTGCCAGCTCCAGTGTCATACTCTAAATTTGGAAAAATGCTTTAAGTACTCTGCACGTGTTACAGCTTGGGGGAGAAGAGAAGGTCATGGAATATGGAGCAGGAACCAGACTCACCTTTTGGGCTGTGGTGCCGGGGAGATTCTGCTACACACTGCACTTCCAACACTAAGCACCTGCTAAATTTCCAGCACTGGCTCTTCTCAGCGTTCAAAACTGCTGAAGGTTAGGCATAGGCATAATTTCAGGTGGATGTGTGAGGTCTGCTTTGTTCCTCAGCAGCTGCTGGGTTTGACATTTTGTTAACTGACTGGATTTTTCCCCCTCTTTTTTCCCCTAGGTGTTCACCTCCCATGGGCCTACTGTGATCATGCCAACCTGGTTCTGCTCTCGAGAATGGTTTTTTCATGTGGGAAGATTTGATGAGGGTGGAAAGGTGAGTGCTGCAGGTGATCTGTAGTCCAGGAGCCATCCCCTTGTTTAACAGCCTCTCCCTGTTATTCAGGAGCAATAGGGAAGGGATGTAGATGAAAACTGAGCTCTAAAAGACCTGGGTCATACAATTTTTTTAAAAACCAGTCTCCAACCAGCTGAAGTTGTTTGGGAATAACCCTGGTGATGGAAGGACCTACCTGAGGCTGGCATTGGAACACACCTATTGGATGTGCCAGCAAACCTGGAAAAAAATTAAAGGTTTCAGACACCAAAGCTCCTCTTTGATCCCTGGAATAGATGCTAAAAACAGGTGAGCCCTTAGTTTTGTTATGAGCTGGGTGAGGTAGGTTGCTGAAAGAAGTTGGGAGGGAAAAAAGGTGCAGAATGGCAGAGGGACAAAAGCACCTTCATCTAAGGGGGCAGATTTATATCCCTGAGAGGAAAAAAGAAGGGCCATGAAACTATTACCACAAAAGCTCATTTATCCACCTGTCCTCTTGTCAATCTTAGCTCTTGTGCTTGTCCTTGGAAGATTTAAAGTAGCTTCTGCTCAAGGATCAGAGCTGGGAGGTTACAAATTCAACACCTGTGGTCTCAGAAGTGTTTTTGCCCTGCCAGTTAGGTGTTTTTTGTCTTTATCAATTTCCTGTATGAGTTCAATTTGATTGCTTTAAGCTCATCAGTGTGTTTATGGAATAAAATCCATGGGTGCCTGTTAGCAGTATTTATTGTGGTAGTTGAAATATGTTGGCAAATAGATCTAATTTAAACACATTTGGATCCATTTTGTGTGGTTTGGTTCTGAGAGATTTTGCTTCCAGTGGTTTTGGTGAGATTTTAGGGCTAAAATGGGTGGCTCTGATTTTTTTTTTTCCCCAAAGCTTTCATTTATTAGCACTCTAAAACAAATCTGCTAAGGCTATTTCCTATTTAATTATTTAAACTACAACAGATGATGATGATGATTATTATTTTTATAGCTTTTAAATGAAGCCCTTCAGTGCCATGCAGTGTGTATATATATACATGTGTGTGTATGTATGAGGACATACAAATATTATTCTTTGGGCTGCCAAAAAATTATAATTATAAGGAGACAGCAGAGAGAGAACTGAATTGTTTAGAGCAGTGAAAAGATTTGCCCTTAATTACATGATGGGTGAGTGGAAGAGCTGGGAATGCTGCCTGGCTCCCAATACAATCTACATTTGCTGACCCAGGCTCTTTATTTCTTTTTTATTATTATTTCTTATCATTGTATTTTCACTCTCTGAAGGATGTCTGACTTCTTGAGCCTTGTTAGTAAGCTCCAGAAAGCAAGCAAGCAAGTTAAAGCAGCAGCAACAATAGAACAGCAAGCCTAATGATAAAGTTCAAGAGGTTAAGTTAAATAGACTATTGTTCTGTGCTTTTTGCTTTTCATTTTGGCTTTTTTTTTCCTCCTTGTTTTGTTTTTATGAGTAGGGTTTTTTTCTGTTTTGCTGTCTCTGTGTAATTGTGTAGGAACTATGCCACTGGTTATTCAGCTGTAGTACACTGACAATCTTAATCCTGATGATTTTTCAGCCACAATGCATGATATGTCCTTCTGGTTTGGAGAATTACAAGTGATAAGTTGAACTTATTGTTTGTCCCTATTGTGAGGTGTCCAACATGTCCAAGCTCAGGCCCTGGCTGATGCAGAGGACCTTCAGAAAAATACCCCAGGAGCAGGACAGATCTGAACAAAGCAGTGAAGTCAAACCTTTGTCTGCTGAGGGTTTAGAGGACACAAAATCAAGCCTTAAATCTTGAGCATTTAGTGTTACAAAGTATTTAGCATTGCTCTAACTCGTTCGTTTTCATTTGAAAAGAAACCCTTTAAAACAAGGGAAGTTTTTCCTCTGTGTGTCAGCAGAGCTGAGAATACTCTGAAGGGTCTCATCCCTGTAAGTTCTGAGCTGAGCCAGGATCTGCATTAATCTGATCATTTCCATCTCCATTTCTGAGTTAGTGTTTATTCATGAGACTTGCCAGTGTCACATTGCTGGAAGTAAACACAGAACAGGCCAGCAAATCTCATGTTTTGGCCTTCCCCATTTGCTGAGCTGTTTCTTGCCAAAAAGCTGCATTTCTCATTTGAAATGAAATCCAAACACCTGTTCTTCGTATTTCAGTGCTTAGGAAAGAATGGAGGGTAATTCTTTCATGGGAGAAATTGTGATTTGATGTTGATGGTAACAGAGTGGGTGGAGTGATCAAATACAAATAGATGTGCTATGGGGTAATCATTTTTTTATTCCAGGTAGATATGTGTCTCTCTCCAGTCATTCAGGCTTTAGGTCAAACAGGTTTTTTCCATCATTTTTTAAATGAAGTTCTTTCTGATCAAGATCTGCAGTTGTTGGAAGTGTATTCCTTTTAGGTGCAAACAAAATAATATATTCATAAATGGTCTCAAAGAACCTAACAGGTTTGTTTTATATATTAGTTAACTAAAATGGTTAAATAATAAAAGAGATTTTATTTATGCAATCTCTGATAAATTATAATTAAAGCAGGAATACTGAAGAGATTTTAGCAAGCTCTGATGGTGTTCACAATACAGTGGAAATGGTCACAAGCCTGTAAGGTAACATTTCAAATAGTATCCCCTGCTGGAAGAAGAGTCACACGATGAACCATATTTGTGGCTTTCTTTTTTTAGGAAACTAAAATAAAATAATCTTTTAAGCAATTTTCTATAAAGACTGCAGTACTTCCCTATGGAAAAAAGTAGCAGCACTTCCCAAACCCTCCAGAACTCCCATTTGACACTTGGTGTGTGACATTACCACGGGTGGCTTTGCTGCTGGAGTTTTTGGTGTCTCCTAATAAGTAGCACCATTGTTAAAAAGTTATAACCGTGTCCAAAAGCATCACAAAAAACTTGTGCTGAGGAGAAAAATGCCCGTGTTCTGGCCTAATGTGAAAAGCAGATTTTGAAGCTGTGTCATCTGTTAGGGTGGGGAGCTCCCCAGGCGTGTGCAGTGGGAGATGGGGTGCCTGTTATTAGGGAAGAAAAGTTATTTTTTACGTGTCTGACAGAAATGCTGAGTACCAGGAGAGCTGTACAAATGAGCATTGCTACCCTGCAGGCTCCACTGCATGCAAGGGTGGAAAATTGCAGTCTTGGCTCTCTCCAGGCAGAATTACTCTCCACATCACAACTGTTACGTGCCAAACTTGTCTCTTTCTCTAGAATCTTACCGCAACTGGGTTCCAAATTTCCTGTCACCCCTGTGTTTATCCTTCCTTTCTAAGTGTATGAAAACTGAAAATGGAGTGACAGCCTTAAAGTTCTGAGCTAATCTCAAAGTGTAAACAGGGGGAAATTATTCTTAATGAGCCCCAGATGGAATCGTGCATTGTAAAGCACCAGCCTTTCTGAATACAAACTGTGCCTCTGAACAAAGTGTCTGGAGCTCAGTTTCATTCTATTTTGGTGATAAAAGGTCACAAAAAACACGAACTGAGGAGGTGTCAAAATATCCTTTTGAGCACAGGAGACTGTAGGCCATGTGGAAAGCTCTGAGGTAGATGTGGCTGTTAGGCACTCGCTGATGCAATTTTCCATGTTTGCCTGCCAGAGCACACAAATCTCGTTCCATTCAGAAAGGCAAGTGGTTACAATAATGCCTCAGAGGTAAAAGGCCAAGTAGGAATTTGGTTTTTTGGAACGTGAACTAAAATACTGTCAGTCTGTCAAATAACCCATCAGGATGCTGTGGGGAAAACTGGGATAAAATACAGGCACTGCTGGGGTTTTTTTGTTTGCTTTTGGCTTTATATAGTTAAAGCTGAACAGAGATCAATATTTGATCTAAAAAGCAGAGAAAAAGTGGTGGAGCCTGTGATTAATTCCACTTTATAAGCTATTTGAAAATTCACCCCATACCCTGTGTCTAATTATATTTTCTGCTGGTCTGTTATTAAATATCATTTACAATTTACCACCTCCCTTCCACTTGACTTCCCCATCATCTTTGTTTAACTGCTTTTCTCTGTGCCAAGACATTTGGATGAAAGCAACCTTTTGGAGTTTCCTTTAACCTGTTATTTCTTAAACAATAAAATAAATCCTAATGGGCTCTGGGTCCTGTAATCAAGGCAAAATGATGGAAAGGCATGATTTGGATGAGAGCCAAGAAATGAAGTGACAGATCTGCAGAAAGGGAGACTTAAGAATATCCGGGATAATCCTGTAGAAAAGCTATTAATAGCTATTTAATTCTTTCCATTCACCAATTTTAGGCTCCTCTGAGGAAGTAAAGCAATTTTTTCTGTCCAGCAGTTACCCTGATGGTGCTGACTGTTCTACAAAATGTTGCAGCCCAGTTTTCCTTGATGCCCCTGACCAAAAGGGAGGCCAGGCTTTTCCAAACCTGAAGGCTTTTCCCCCTGTGGATTGATGTACTTCTCCTGTCTTATTTGTCATTGCTGTTTCTTATAAGTGCATGTATTTATGAAATACTTGTAGATCTCCCATTTTCACCAGTCAGACTTCTCTGCACAGGATAAATCTCCGCTGGTTGTGCTCACAAGGATCTGCCACCTCTGCCAGAGTGCCTGGGAGCTGGGACAGGGAGGGTCAGATGGGGCTGAGACAAGGCTGAGCAGGGATGGATAAGGAAGTTGGGACAGATTTATTCTGGTTTAGCAGTAAAAGGCAGCTTTTATATTTGTATATTATATATATACACGGGGCCTCTACAGCCCCGTGGTGGTTTCTGTCCAAGTGAGCAAATGAAAGGGCTGCTCTCAGCCTGAAGTGCTGCTGTTGGTCATCCCAGCATGGCCTCAGCAGGTGTTCATGGTTACAGCATCACTTGCATTAAAACTCCTCCAAAAATTGCTGATGGTCCCTTTGGGAATGTAATAAACCCCTCAGGAAAACCTCCAGGCTTTGCCCTGGAAAGATCCCTGCTGATGCTCCTCATCCTGACTGATGGTGGAGGTGCAAGAGTTGTAGCCAGAATTGCTTGTTGGGGGATGCTTGAACCTCTTTGGAAAATGCTGGGGTGGCTGCAGTTGGAGCACAGTTTGCTGCCAGGAGTGAGAACAGCGAGCAATAGAAGATGGCAAGAGAAGGATCATAGATAATTTAGTTAATCCCTGAACAAGGAGTTACTTTAACTCAAATTAGGGTTCTGCTTGACACCCCATGGTCTATAAAAAATCAGTCCCCTCACCTGTACAACCATCAGCATAGCAAGCAGTACCTGCCCAAAATACTGGGTCAGCAGAAACCCTTCCCCTGTTCAGTGGGAATGTGAAAAAGTGAGCTATGATTTTGCATTGGGCTGCTTAGAGCAGAGCAGGGGCAGGCTGTGCTTTTCTCTGGGAGCTGTAATTAGTTTATGCCCTTTTGCAGCAGAGGATGTGCGGTTGGTTTTGCCATAATATGGAAAATTCTGCATGTAGTCCCAGTAACATGTAAACTGTGCAATTTAATTGTATTTATTGTTGCTGAAAGCTATTGATGTGGTAGCCTATTGCTGAAATGCTGGGTTAGTAATTGATACTTTTAGCTATAGATATTCATTTTCAAAAAATACATTAAAATATCCCTTTAGTGGTTAAACAGCTTTCTCTTTCAGAGTTGTGTTGTTTCACAAAGATTCCTGGTGTTTAAAATGCCATCTGGATCCAATAATAGATCTCAGCTGGGAAGGAGCTCTTGTGTTGCAGCAAACTTACACGCTCAAGAGCCGTAGGAAGTCCCATCCCTGCAGGATCCATAACACAGTCAACATCTTTCCTCTGAAAAATGCGTGGCACTGCTGCTCCTTTGTAATGTGAGAGGCCACTGCTGAGCAGTGCAAGGCACCTGCTCCTTCCTAGGCCTGAGTGCACTTTATTCCAGAGAATTTCTGCCAGATAAAGGAAAGCAAAAGAGCCCTTGGAACCAAAGAGTGTTTTTTGAAAGATCCTTTTACTTGTGCAGTAACTCTTCTTAAATATACATATTAACAGTTGTCTTGAATAATGGAAAAGCTTATCCAACAGAGAAGGAATTGCTGAGATGGATGTGACATAATCATAGATGTGAATCAAAATGTGGCTCCTGCAGCAAGCTGATATCTGCTGCACTTGTGCCCTGAGACGTGGTCTAGTGTGTGATGGGAAAAGAGAAAAAGGTTTGAACTTTTCTGCTGGCTCATATTTCCCTTAAAGTCCACGATAAGGAAAATGTAGAAAGGGCTACAAGATAAATGGAAAGAAAATGATTTTGCATTTTTCTTGTATTCTTGGTGACTGTGGTTGCTGGCTGCCACTCTAACTTCTCCCAGATTTCTGTTGTGACTTTCAAAGTAGTCACATAAAGCATAAATTGTATGAGCTTGTCTTAAAGTTTTCTTCTGCCTTGCAGCTCTTAAACCAGAAGTCAGACAAATGTCTACAAAGACAACCAATGTCTGCAGATGAGCTGCCCTCAGTGAGCAGAATCCATTTAATTCAGAAGGTGGGAGCATGGCCCAGTGTCACACAAGACCCAGAGTGAGGGCAGGAGCTGCAGAGCCCAGAGCTCGACTGGATTCTGGTTTCTCCCAAGGTGCACATGTTCAGCTGAGTGGTCTGCAGTTGTTTTCCAGGGTTCAGAGAGTTTTTTGTCTCATTTCTCTTCCACACCCACACCCCTCTGGCTACTCAGCCTGGTGGGGATGAGAAATAGTCACTGAACTGTATTGCTCTCATAACTAGAGGGCCAGCCCAGCACTGTAATTAGAGAATCTCATTAATTATGGAAGAAACTCAGAGGCTGTAGTAATAGGGAACATTTTCAATTTTTTTTTTTTTACTTGTACTCTTATTATTTTTCTGTGTTGAAATAGAATGGTTAAGATTGAGGTTGAGGTTTCTGACCTGGTTATTCATATGTGTCATACTGTCTACAGAAACAAATGTATTTCAATCTCTCCACCTTCTTTTCCTTTAAAATTGTCATTTTATCTTTCAGCTTTTTGTTGTTGCAACGCTTAAATGTTTTCTTTGACCCACCTGGTTTTATAAAAGGGAGCTTTTTAGTCTGGTAAAAACCATGTGACCTTTTAAACACTGTATTGCAGGGAAGAAATATCTATATTTATACGTGAAAGAATGAAATGTTCTAGTATTTAAAGAAGCTGTAGCTTTGCAAAATATAAATAAACACTACTTTTTTTACCTTCTCTGGAGGACTTTAAAGGTGGGTTTATGCTTTCATATGCCACAAAATGGAATTGAGTGCTATGAGCCATATAATTGCCCTTCTGACACTGCATCACTTGCATGAAGATTCTCTGATTTTTAAGTGGAGAATGTTTAAATGACTGTGAAATCCCTCATTTTTCCTAGAGCCTGTTAGATCCACAATTGCAGGAGCTTTTATCCTGTAGTGTTTTCAGCAGCAGTGGGTGCAATCCCATAAGGATGAATGTACCATGGAAGGAAGTCTCAAGAAAAATAAAAAAATCTTTTCAGATGTTGCCTCATTCTGAGGTTGCCTTTATTGCAGTTTTTATTGAAGTCTGTCATTATGGGGCCTGAGTCACCTTTCCTAACTAGAGACCAGCATTTGTATGACAGCCAGAGAAAGAAGGAGAATTCCAGTAAAATGAGAAAAAAAAAAAAACAAACCCTTCTTAAGTCACTGATCCTTTGCAGTACAAATTATTTGGTTACATGGAACTTCAGGCTGCACAAACTGTTTAGCAGCTGGCCTTCTCTTTCTTTTGGATTCACCTGCACCAAGCTTGAGATCCCTGTCAAAATGAGATGATGTTAATTTTTCCTCCTCTGTCCTTGCACTTCATTTATAAATAGTACTGCTCATTCAGCAGCATTAGCTTCATTTGTTTCACAGCCCATTAGAGAAGTTCATTGGGACACACTCAAATAATAGTACAGAATCAGAGATGGGCTTGGGTTGGAACTTAAAGATCTTCTTGTTTCACCTCCAGGACACTTCCAGGTTGCTCCAAGCCCCATCCAACCTGGCCTTGGGGAGTCCACACCCTCCCTGGGCAGCAGCAAAGTTGCATTTATATATATTTATATAATATATAAATATTATATATTTATATATAATAATACATTTATTATTATAGGTAATATATATTGCATATCTATTATACAATATAATAATTATATTTATTATGTAAATATGTATAATATTTACATTATTATGAGTAACAATTCTGTTGAACCATATTCATTTGGCAGAGAAATTAAAAATCTTCAGATGTACTGATCTTCAGAATCTGATCTAATAACTGTTTTCTGTTGCAGGGTGTCCCAGAGGACTTGTTGTTTTTTTATGAGCATCTCCAGAAGGGTGGTGGAGTGTTTCGAGTGAACCATTGCCTCCTGCTCTACCGGTACCACCCCCAGGCTGCCACTCACTCTGTGCTAGAGTAAGCTGTGCTTTCCAGGAGAATTTAGACTTGGTTTTGTCTTGGATCATTGGCAGCAAAGATGGTGAAACTGCATTGGGGGTTTTTTATTAGGATTTTTAATATGTAAAAATGTCATTCCCATGGTTTTTGACGTATGAACCGTAATGTAAAAAAAAAATGTGGAAATGTTATGGCTGTCATTCCCATGGTTTTTGACGTATGCACCGTAATGTAAAAAAAAAAAAATGTGGAAATGTTATGGTTTAATTTCAAAATCAGCTGCCTCAATATTTAAAAAGTAAACAGAAACTTGTAACACCAACAAAAACCATCTTTCGAAAAACAAAAAAAAGAACCAGACCAAAACCAAACCTTTAATCTGATAATGTGCTGCCTTTACATATATTATTTTCTTATTTTAAAGGGTCTAAACCACCTAAATCAGATAATGAGGTTTGAAAAATCCCTGAGGATGTTTAGGAGTAATTATCTCAGGTGCTTCCTTGTAAGCTGCTTTTGTTGCCTGCTGCCTTTCGTGGGCTGCTCAGCCCCTAAAGGAGGTGTTGAATTGCTGATTCCTCCACATGCTGCAAGCTGAGCCAAAGCTGTTCCCTTCTCTTATGCACTGACTTTAATAAAAAGTGACATGGGCTGTACTGTCCTTTAGGAATGCCGTGCCAGAATCACAGTGGTAATTAAGTAAACTGTTTCCTTACTGATTAATGATATAAGTACACTTTTCAGCCAATCCTGTTTTTATGGCTTTGTAGAACTGACCAGTACAAATGAACATTTCTGTGTACATTTTTGTTGTCCATCCCTGTATTGCTGTACAGAGTGTAAAACAAATAACCATGAGCACACTCATGGTTAATGTCACTACAGATCTTTATAAATGTGAATATCTATATAAAATCATTTAACTATGAAAAGGTCATTCAAGCAAATAGTACATATGATTTTGATTTTGCAAACAAGCATGAGATAAATTATTTTCCTTTTTACACATGTTGAAATGTAAAAATGTGTATTTTTTTCCTCTTTTACTGTGTGATCCTTTTGGCAGTTAGTGACCAACTTTTCAGCCACGCATTATGGGACCCTAAAAACTCTTGGAAGCATTTTTGCTTCTATCTGTGGGAAAGCATCTAATTCTTGGAAATTAATTTGTTTTGAATTTACTGCAAGCTGTTGCTTATTCAGATCTCCAAGGCTGTGTGGCACAAGCACCCTGAATTACAGCATCCTGGGGGAATGTGGAAATGCTGTGAGCTCTTTCAGATGTGCAGGGTGCCTGTCCAAATTGGCGCCTTTCTTGTCTCGTTCTAAGAAATCAGGAGAGCTGCTCTTCCTCTTGGCTTCCTGCTGGTACTACTGGGGATGATATTTGGTGTGGCTTTCCAAAGATGAGGTTGTGCAAGAGCTCTTTCTCCTGGCTCAGTCCTTGTTTGCTGCCCGAGTTCTGAAGGGTTGCCGGTGTTTGTGTCTGGAGACTGAAGTGCACATTGAGCAAAAAGAGATTAATGGACTCATCACAATGGTTTAAGGTTATGATTTAAATTTGGTCTTGCCTAATTTGCCTCTTGGTCATTCCACCTTATTTAATGCATGCTCTGGCTTTTCTAGAAGCCTTTTTCTTTATATTGTGGGTTTTGTTGAGCAGTTTTCTGTGGTGTTTTGCTTTTTGCCATTGGCCCAGGTCATCTTGAAATTTTGAGTTAGCCTAGACTTGAATTTGGAAGTAGTAACTCACCAGCCAAATTAATATCTTGTCTGAGATCAAAATGATGCTGGTAGGAAAGCTGATTTTTTTTTTTCCTGGTTTTGCCTGGTTTCAGTCTTAAAAACCATAGCAGGACATTTTTATCCAAAGGTGCATCATTCATTCTTTCCAGCAAAGACAACAGTCACTCGCAGCCTGTGATGGTTTCAGTTTATGTGGGTGTCTTTCAGAAACCTCCAGGGGGAAAGAAGCCTCACTGCATTTTCAGACTTCCTAAAATATGTGTAAAACTGCTTGGCAAGTGACATTTGGTTCTTTTATTTTTTTAGTTAGTACGTATAATTGTAAACACTCGTGTGCTTTAGGTCATTTCCTATGATTAGTATCCTTCTGGAACACATATCTGGAGTTGAGAATATCTGTGAAGCAGGAAACTAAATCTTATTTGCATTCTCCCTTACCCTGGAGGCATCAGTCTGCATTATTAAATGTTTTTGGGTGTGTGACAGAATCTGCATGAAGTTCAGTGTCCGTATTTAGATTTCATTAGGTGCATGCAGAAATATGAATGTTCTCATTGTCATTTCATCCAAAGTCTGTGATGGATACCTGCTGGATTTTGAGAAACTTCTCTTCAGCTAGGAATTCACAACACAAAATCCCACTTTTCATATCTCCTGGATCTAAATCACTTTATTTGGTGTTGTACCCTAGGGCTGTGTGTACTCAGTGCTGCACAGCCACATTAAATTGATGTGAGACCATAGCAGAGCTGGCTTTAGAGTGAGGAATACTGGAGTAAGAAAGTCTAATGTATAATAAAAACATGTTAAAATTCATAGATTTTTGTCTTGCCAAAGGGGAGAGAAAGGAACTGTATATACAACAATACCTCACTGCGAGATGAAAGTGAGCTTGGAGTGAGGTGAGCAATAAAAAATTGCACTTGTCTTTAGGTAGTGCTGCTCATGAAGACAGGTGGTTGGGGCATGCAGCTAATCCTTGGAGCAGTTTGCAAGTTTTTAATCAAGACAAATTTAATACATGTGGAAAAGAAGGTTTGTACCTTGTGTCTAAGATCTGAGCAATTCCCTCTTACACAGAAAAGGTGAAGTGCACCTTCAGTAATTTCAGATCCCCTGTGCTCAGAACGAGTGTGACACTGCCCTGCAGAAATAAGCAGAATTACATAATCTATTGAAAACATCTGGTTTCAGGCACTGGAAGCTTCCAGTGTCATCTGAGCAAAGAGGAACAGGCATTGGTGTGAAACACACATTTGGCTGTTTCAGAGGTGCTCTGAGGCCAGGTCTTGGATCTGTGGTGAGCACTGGAATGCCTCCTTCATTTCCTGCACAAACATACACGGCCAAAAATAGGCAGGAGAGAGGAATAACATACTCCTGTAGAGCTGAAATTAAGATGAGGTCAACTGCATTTTTATCTTCTATGCTTGCATTTGGCACTTCAATTAAACATGGAAACTAATGACCTCATTAGATTCTTGAAAAGTAAATGCCATTAACATTGATAGTCTCTGTCTCTCTTAATAAGCCTTTCATGAAAAATAGGCCACAATGCAAACCATGCCTCAGCTAATGACCCGTGACCTGAAGATGAACTCAGACATTAATAGAACCTATTAACAGTGTAAATGTAATAACTCAGTGGGACGATATAGTCCAGCAATTAATAAGTTCACATGAAGTTCAACAGAACAACAACGGCAAAAAAACCAGTTTATTCACCAGTATGGCCAAGGTTCAAACAGGATTTATTTCTGAATTTCCTGTGGATGTAAGGGCCTTGAATTCTGCATGCAAGCCTGGCTGTAAGGGATCTGCTCTTTCAGCTCTCACTGTGATTGTGAAGTTCTCTGCTCCTGCAGCTCTGGTTTATCGATCAGGTGAGGCTCACCTCTCATCCAAAACTCTCTTACCCTGCCATCAATAAAAAGGCCCTGGAAGAGGATGCTCACTTGGGCAGCTGCTCTTCCTGCCTGGTGTTACCTGAGCACTGTGCAGGGCCAGCACAGGGAGAAAAGGTCAGATTTATGGATCTATAGTGTTTCTGTGGATGGCAATCCATGCCTAAAATTCCAGTACTGTTCAGGATATTGGGCTTGTATTTCTGCACTGCTCAAGTGCTTGTACATCTGTCTTTGCTCTGTGGATTCACTTATGTGGCCTCGCTGGGGGAAGGAGGGGAAAGGCAGTGCAACAATATGGCGAGGTTTGACTGAGCTCAGACATTAAATCATGTTGCTTTTATTGTCACATTATCTTTCATTTCAAAATAGGAGTAGAGCAGATGTTTCTTGACTCTTGTATTCAGTCACTAGGTCACCACACATTTTTAACAGAGCTCCATTGTTGCATTACTTGGGTGGATGGTCTGGTAATAACTACTTGGGGCTGAGGAACACACGGTGTAGTCATTCTCACCCTCTGCATGAATACCCTCGTTTCACTCCTGCAGAATTTTGGCTCCTCTTCTTCCTCCCAGGCTCCATAACTGATGAGCATTGAGGGGCCACAGCAAGTGAGATCTTAGGAAAATTATTTAAGCCTCGAGAATGACATTTCGAGTGGAAATACTCCTAACGTTTCTTTTCCAAAGTTGTGACAACAAAATGAAAGGAATGGGGGAAATAATGTATTTCAAGGTTTGGGGTCAAGAAAGAGCGTTAGGGTACGGGAACAAATTTGTACAGTGAGAAGAATTTTGTCCCACCTTCTGGCTGAGGACAATCTTGTGAACTGAATACAGGCTTGGACATGGTACTAAAGCTGCTGCAAATTGCTTACTCTAATCTTCTGTGAGATGGGTAGGAAAAGCTGTCTTGATTTGGAGTGAGGCAGAGTAATAATACCTCCTAGGTTTTGCTGGTGGCTGTGAATATGTAATAATGCATAATCTGAAAATGGCTGTGAGAATCATCTCTGAGTAGTGGTTTGTACAACTTCTGGATCGTTTCAGGCATTTTCTTTAATTACCCTTTGCACGTTGCTGCAGCTCCTGTCTGCTGCACCTGCACTGGCTGGTGAAGGATGGGAAAATGGCATTCCCTTATCCCTCGAGGCAGGAATCCCAGTTATCTGTTCCCCTTATCCCTCGAGGCAGGAATCCCAGTTATCTGTTCTGGAAACATCAAAAAAAAAAAAAAAAAAAAAAAAGTGGCAACTTAGGTGAACCGGAAAGCTGAAGGGAATAACCGAAACTCTCTCCTTTGACACCTGTGAGCTCCCTTTGCCTCAGCGTGTGGGATTGTTTGTGCAGACTGAGTTCTCACAAAGATGAGTGAGTGTCACTCTAAAGCTCAGTCCCAAATTCTCCCCTCACTTCTGTGTTTATCTGCTACCTCAGCTTAAAACTATTTCAGGGTTAACTCAAGACTTTAAAGTGATGGAACTTAATTTTTTCATTGAAAACACACAATATGGAGGTGTGAGCTTCAAATGCTTTTCTGTGGGCATTGTCTTGTAGTGATGCAAGCAAAACATCCCAACTGCTGGGTAGATTGGCTTTGTTTTTACAACCCACAGTACTTAAGAGAGTTTTTAAGTGTTGTTAAATGAAGCTGTCTGACAGTATTCTTGTGGTTGAACAACAACCATTTGGAGTATAATACCTTTCATACCCTTTTATTTCAGAGTGCATTCTCTTACAAGCTTTCCCCACTTGCTTTTCCAGGATAGCATTGATAGGTGAGATGAGTCAGTAAATCTGCTTCAGTCTGAAATCTTCAGGGGTGATTAACACCCCTGAGATTTGGTCTGATTGAATTTTACCTCAGTAGGACACTGAGGCTCTCATGGCCTCGACAGCAACCACAAACTGCCTGGAAGAACCAATACTGCTGTGCTGGGACATCTCCACAAAAATAAAAACATCTTTTATGAGCCTGGAGGTAGATTGCAGGGTTTGCACTGCACCTAGAAATTAGTTACAATCTCTTTTCATGCCTTGTAAGGCTGCCTGGTTTTTTACTTTGGTTTCCTTAATGTTGTAAACTCAAGTGGAAAAGAAACTTGCCAGTGCCACTCAAGCCAACAGAACAGATTCTGAAGTTCCTTTGGAATGTAATATGGTGTTACCCTTCTGAAGTAACATTTCAAAGGAAAATCACTTTTAAAAGCTTTCCATTTATGTGCAAAGCAATAATCTTCCTTTTTAGAAGCTCTCAGAAGCTCTAAAATGTCCAGTAAAGTGATACTGGAAAAATACTTGACCTTCATATTTTGTTCCTTAAACTTTCCTTCTGGGACTGCAGCATGCTGTCATGAGCATGGAAAAAGGCAAGTGTCAAAGGATGCCAGCAGCAGTTAAAGCTTTGCAGCAGGAATTCATCTTGTGGTTGCATTAGAAGAGATTTTTGATCAAATCCAAAATTTTCTTTTTCCCCATTAGTCAAAATGCTGGTGCAGAGCCATCACCCTTGGAGCTGTGAGGAAATTTTATTTGTGCATGAGGTATTTTCCAAGCTATCAGAGCAGGATCAGTGATGAAGTGCTGAGCAGGATCTGGCTGTGCTGAAGTGAAGTGGGGTCACTGGGTCCTGTGAGGGTTGTGTGGTGTTCAGAACATAACTGGGGCTGTGAAGGAATGATGCAAATAGGAAAATGGAAAAACTCCACTTGAAGATTGCCTTAAATAAGGAGACACCACTAGGGGTTCATCAGAATTCCTGGGAAAGAAAGTTACAGCTCAAGGTGCCTTGTTCAAGAGATGTATGTTATGAAGTTTCATTTGTCAAATTGAGGAAATCAATTTATTCTCTCTAGAAAACTGTGTAATAAGTCTGAGGTGGGTTCCTAGTTAATGAATATTTAATGAATGCTGGAAATAAAGCAGGTGTTTTTAACAGCAGGCAGGTTTCTTTAATCCATGATAAATGTTGTAGTCTTAAATATTACATTGTAGTGCAGAATACACACACTCAAACATTAAAAAAAGCTGCAGTTGTCCAACTGGATTTGCCAGTTGGGAGAAATGGACCATGACAAACTGCTTTCCTTGACACTGTTTTCTCTTTCTGAGAACCTGTCTTGAACCTTTTGAAGACGTCAGCAGCTCTTCAGTAGCTAAGGCTGTTGGATGGTCCCTTGCTGGGGATGGTTCCAGAGCCGTGGGATTTGTCATTTGGTATTGGTGTCACCGTGTTTACCTCGACCACTTGGCTAATTATCTTGTGGAAGTTATCCCAGAGATGAAGACTTCAAGGTGTAATTGCACACAGACATCTGCCAGCTTGCTATTTTCCTAAAACATGTTTTTAAAAGTTCTATGAGGCATACTCCTTTTTAAAAGAAAAAGAAAATCCCACTGCTTTTTGTTCCTAGAAATGCAGGTTCTTATGAAAGTTGCCTTCAAATAAAGGCATAGCCACATTTGTGTCATTACCAAAGAATACTTGGGCACTTTTACAGTTAAATCTATCTTATTTGGTCTGAAATGAGTGTGTGTGCAGGCTGGCCAGTGTGAGGGGTGTAGCCAGGTGGTTTGTGTGGGACTGTGATTGTAGCTGGGGGTGTCACTGATCCAGAGCTCTGACACCCCACTGGAGCCTTGAGCCAAATCCACGCTGGAAATGCATTTATGCTGTGGTGCTGGGGGTAAGCTGGGCTTCTAAATCTGTGAGATGCCAGCTTTCCATCAGGCAAGGAGAAGGAGCCCGTGGCAGATGGAGCAGGAGGAGCCCAGCTGGGGTTTGGGAGATGCTTTGCCCGTGTCACTGCAGGGCTCGGGGCAGTTCACAGGTGAGCACAGGTGTGGGTAGGGTTGAGTTTTATTACCACAGCTGCAGCTTTTCATATTCTTGTGATCTGGGAGGGTTCTTGAAAATACAAATTGTTTAGCTACTGCTTCCTATCTATCCAAATGGTTTTTGTCTGAGAACTTCCACAGAACTTCTTTTCTACGTTCCCCTCAGAAATTTGCAGTCTGATGTTCTGATGTGACTTTTTTTTTTTTTTTTTTTTAATTATATTAATCCCTTTGGTCATGTTTACCTGTAGGTGAGTGTGTAGATGTGCACATAGCTCTGTAATAATGCTAAACATTTTAGGGGTCAAAACCTGCCCTTTTTCCAACTCTCCAGGGAAACCATCTGGAATCACCGAGTCAGGTTCCTTGAGGACAGAGTCCTGAGCTCCTGGACATCATTCACCATTTGGAATGCTGGCAAGCAAGGCAAGAAGCTCTACAGAAGCTTGTCACCAGCTAATCAGAAAAAGGTGAGCTGGAAAGTGACATTTGTACAAACCCACTTCTTCTTCATATACCCCATGATGCTTCTAATCCAACCCAGCAAAATTCTCTTAAGATATTTTGTCCCTACAGTACTAATTGATAATTAACATAAATTGGGGCATTTCTCAATATTCTGTGTGATGTATTTCTTCTTTTAAAATGCCATGATATTTTATTTAGAGCTTATGGTGGGCAGGGAGAGCAAGAAATGCACCAGTAGGTGGGACACAGCTGTAGCAGGGTGAGAAGAACAGCTCTTTATTTGGGTTGTGTGGTGCTGAACTGCCTTGTCCAGGGGCATCCATACCTGTGTAACATTTGCCCAGTTCCAAAGTGGATACTGGACACGTCCCTGGTCACTGTGACTCCCTTTGGAAAGGTTTTGGTTGCCAAAAAGTATTTAATTGCCAAAAAAAAGGGTTTGGTGTGGGCTGAAGGGGTGAGCAGAAACTGCTGGACGTGACTCTCCCACTCAGTCAGCTGAAAGTGCTGGTGTTTGGCAGTGGCAGAGATTTCTCAGGATAGATTTGTCCAAGAGTCTAAATACCTTATTTTTATAGCATTTTCTTGTGTGCAATAACTTTGTGTTAGATAAAGGCTTTAGGGCTAATGTCAAATGGCTGTTTCTTATAAAGAGCCACAGAACATTCGTTTTATTGCTGCATGTGTTTTTCTTTTCTTAAGAATATGGATGGGAAGACAAAATGACAAATACATATAAAAACCTGATTAATGTTGTGGCCCTCAGACCACACACATATTAAAAAAATAGAAGAGATTTGTATACACACAGTTAGAACTACTGAATAGGCATGGGAGTAAATGTACAAAGTAAAAACTGAACTGAATGTCCTGCTTGATATTCCAGTGCCTTTCCAGTGCCATCCCTCAGTCATTGCCATCACGTGGCAGTGGGTGAGCTGAAGAAAAGATATTAAATGAATCACTTGTTTCACTCAGGGAGGACAGACCTGTCCATTAAATATGGTTTATTATTGATTGATTTATTATGACAGTTATATTCTATATATTATTTCATTATATATAATGATCATAACAACAATTTTATTTATATAGATATAAATCTATAAAAGTATAAAGACAACTAAAATTAAATTTAGACAGAATGTAGCTGTCTAAACTTAATTTTAGTTGGTTTTATGCTTTAAATCAGTTTAGGCTCCTGAGATTTCACCTATGCTTTGTTTGTCTGCATACTTTTATTGAGATGCAGGATTTCATCTGATGTCCTGCCTGACTTTGGCTGGACTGTGGAGTCACTGCAGGGTTGTTTTCTCAATTGGCACCAAGTACCTGCAGAAAATTTGGGACACAAACTCCTAGGGTAAATAATAACCCCCCCAAAAAATCCTACCACATGCAGCATGTATTATTTTGTAATTTTGAAACAAACCTGGACTCTACTGAATCCTCAGGAAGAGAATTAAATAATTTGATCTGTCAGGCTTAGGGTGTGTAAGAAAACATCTTTTTCAAGAAAAAAGAATGCTTCTAGTATTTTTAGAACCTGGTAAACAAAGCAATTGCATTTCTTCTGCTGACAGGATCTTTGTGGGATGTTGAAAAGCCCAGCTCTGCCCTGTGCCAAAGAACATTGTTTCTTAGAAAACAAAATTCAGGCAATTCCAGGAAGCAGCAGTCTGTCTATGTTCATACTCACTAACAAATTATTACTTTAGTTTGTTTGGGAAACAGTGTGAATGTGAGCTGTGGTTATGTTAAAAGAGAAGAGGACACCTCAGCAATTCTCCCTTTTCCCTCAGCCATCTGTATGCTGAATATTAAAATGATGCTTTGTCTCCAAAGGAGCCAGGCAGAAATCCAAGGCTCGGTATTTTTGCTAAACAGCAACACACGAAAAAATTATTCCACTAGTAGTTTTGGTTTTTTTTTTTTTTATGAATTAATTACCATGATCTCAGTATTCTTAGGGAAATTCTGCTTCCTGGCTGTCCCCTTCTTGATTCACACTGCTGACAGTGGTTCAGTATTAGCATTTCTGCAAGAATGAAGTCAAACAGACCTTTTTTTGTTTAAAACACATCCGTTGTGTCTATAATTTGCAGCTGAAGATGGAAACCAAATGTTTTTGGGATGCTCCATGTGCCTGGAGGGTTTCTGAGCTGTCTTGTCTGCTCTTTTATTCCCCATCAGACTTCAGCTAAAAGGAGAACTTAAGCATTAACATTTTGTGTCATTTCCGATGGCTGAAAATAGCGTTCCAGTGGCTCATGGAAAAGCAGGGGCAAGGACCAAATCAGCATCAGCTCATCAGTGGGCTGCAAACAGTGCTTGTGCACAGCCAGGCCGTGCCACTCCTCTGTGACAGCCCTGTGTGCTGGTGGCAAACAGAAAAGGTCTTTTGAAGGCCTTTTTTCCTGGCTCATCGACCATTTAACATCATCCATTGGGTTCCCTCTGCCTTTTTCCAAGGGCAGCATCACCAAACCTTGTGCTGCAGCTCTGGTTCTCCAGCTCATCCCCACGGCCAAGAAATGTTCAACTTTTGCAGCATTTTAACCATTCTGAAAGTGTGTGAGTGGCACTGTCAGAGCCTGGAGTGGGGACATGAAAGCAAAGAAACGTCAATAAAGGGGAGAATGTTACACCCATGAAATAAAGGGGAGAATGTTACACCCATGAAATAAAGGGGAGAATGTCACACCCATGAAATAAAGGGGAGAATGTCACAAACATGAAATAAAGGGGAGAATGTTACACACATGAAATAAAGGGGAGAATGTCACAAACATGAAATAAAGGGGAGAATGTCACACACATTAAATAAAGGGGAGAATGTCACACCCACCTCAACAGTGAAGTGGCAATGTGAAAGCAAGTTAAAAGCCTCCAGAATAAGGAGAGAGATGAAATTTGAAAGTTTCAGTTAAATCCAGGTATAAAACACCCTAAAATGACATGGGGTAAATCAAGGCTTCATTCTGGACTGTAGTGAGTGATTCCTGGCCAGGAAAACTCCCTGTTCTTCCCATGTGGGAGGAAGTGCTTTCTGCAAGCTCTGTTTTGTCAGCACAGAGCTGTGCACACCCAAAAGGTGCCTGGCATCACTCAGATTTCCTCTGCAGGGATGAGTCCCTGGCAGTGAGGCCCCACACCTATGGAGGCAGGTTTGTTGTACATAACAAGGGAAATGTTTTATATCCAGTGTTTAGCAGCTGATTTTGCGTGTTGGATTCTGGTGTTAAAATTCTCCACTGATTTTGTTGTGGATATGTGCAAAAAGGGGAAGCTGCTGCTGTTTCCAGTGGAATGGTGTCTAAATGGAATAATGAAATGCATTCTTGGGATTTAAAGATACCCACAGCTTCTGTCTTGGCTGTAGTGCTGAAGAGGTGAAATCAAAGCAGCTCCTGGCATGGAAAATCACTCAGATTGTGACTGGTGCCTGCTGGTTCCATGTCAGGGCAGAAGCTGTTCATGCCCCTGTGTGTCTCCTGTTTTTTCATCAGCTGTATCCATTTGAACTTGCATTGTAATGCTTTCAGTTACTTTGTTTTGACATGAATGGCCACAATTGATTTTGCTTTCGCAGAGATGTATATTAACATGCTCCCGAGGCTTTCTGCAAGCTTCAATGAAAGAATTATAAATAGAAGAATTAACAGGGTTCACTAGAAGTTTAAAACAGATGTGGGATTGCATGAGATGGGGAAGGAATGCAGCAGGGAAGATCTGCTCGGTGGGATTTTGCAGGGTCTGCAGGTTGTCCCTTTGGAGGTGACCCTGAGGACACCAGCTGATGGCAGGAGGAGGGAGAAGCCACAGCATGCAGGTGACCATTTATTGGAAGGGTTTTCCAGTTTTCTGTCAAGTTCCCCTCAGTTATTCACTCTCCCATGTGGAACTTGCCTCTCATGTCCTTCCAGACCTGAGAATGTGCTGAGTTCAGGTTGTTGCTTTCTGTAAATGGCTGCTAGAGACCACAGGTGAAACCAGGATGGGAGAATAAAATCCTGTGACGATCATTCACCATAAAAGCACATCATGAAGCTGATGAAACCTTTCAGTTTTTCCATTACGAAACCTGAGTGGAATGGGAAGTGTGAAGAAACACAGTCTGCAGCAGCCAACCAGGCACACAGGAACCAAACAATTAAATTGTTGTGCAGTCACAGCAGAGCTCCACCAGGCAGGCAGTGCCAGCTGCACCCCAAGGCACCCTGTGTCACTGCTGCTGCTGTGGCTGTGCACTGCAGGAGGATCTGCTCCCATTCATCTCCTTTCCCCAGGGAGGTCTGATAGCCCCAGCCTGGCCCTGCAGAGCCCCTGTGTTTATTAGGAAGAGCCAGCCAGAAAAGGGCTTTTATCTTCCTCAAACGTGTCTTCCCCCAGCAGAGGTTGTTTCTGAGTTAATCTCTTATCTTGTGAGCTATGTAAACTTTCTCTTAGGAGGGAGAAGGCGATTTCTCCTTTTCCCCTAACACCACTGTTAATGGAAGTTGCAGTCCATATTTATAAAAATTACTTACTGTAGTTCCTTGGCTTCTCTAGCAGATACCCAGAGTTTTGAGCTGAGAGAATTAGCAGTGTTCTTTCCTTTGGAATTTTTGTAATTGTGCAGATTTTTATACATGTTTAAAACAAAGACATGTAACAAATCATATATTTTAGTAACACTGAAGTGTGATCTGAGGACTCAGTGGTATCATGCTGTCAGAGGTATTGCCAAAGAGTAATTTTGCTAAAAGGAGAGGGGGGGAAAACAGCAAATTGAGACTCCTTTATGGCTTTATAATTCATGGTTTCTCACAGGGAGACAGGAGTTCATGTGTGGATAGATGTTCTTCATAAAAGCTACAAGAAAGAAGGCCATTAATGCAGGAAAATAAATAGGTGTCTCTGGGTTTATCCTGATAGTGTATAAAGTAAATAACTCCTATAAGCCTGATGCCCTGACTGCTCCTTATAGGATAAACAACTGTGCCTAAGTCCTGTATTTAGACTCCAAACACAGCTTTGCTTTAATTGGAAAATAAATAGTGTGTGTCAGAAAAATAGTTGCCTTACATTTTGGCCACCCACGTGGTGTGCAGGCTGCAGAAAAATCACCCATTCAAGTCTGACCTGTTTTACTCTGCTGTAAATGCCAGGTCTAAGCTGCCTGAGCCCATTGAGAATTGTACAGGGAAATACCTCAGTGATAACAAAAAGGGTTTGAGCTCGTTCCATCTCCCAAGGGGAATCTGTCACAGACTCACCTGTGCTCGTTTTTTCACTGAGGGGTTTTTGTGGGGGTGTTCTGGGGGCTGGGGAGTCACTGTGGAAAAGGGCAGAGTTTTCTACACCCAGAAACTGGAGTGATGGAGTGAGAGGGAGAGTTGGAATTAATGGCAATTTAGTGATACAAGAAGTGCCTTTGGAGAGAGACTGTTTACAAGGGGATGTCGTGACAGGACAAGGAGAAATGGTTTTAAACTGACGGAGATTGAGATTGGATATAAGGAGGAAATTCGTGCTGAGAAGTCCAGGCACCACTCAGGTTTCTGTTAATTGGGTAATAACACACTGAGGATGAGCAGTGAGACTTTCCAGCACAGATCTTGCAGCTGGATTCTCAGTTACTGACACAGAAGTGTAAATGGAATTTCTCTTTAGCTTGTGTCATAAGTTTTGGTGGTTTATTTTGGTTTTTATTATCTATAAGAGCATAAGCAGCTCCAAAAATAGCTTTATTTCTTGGACAGCAAGTCAACATATTGGACTTTGTTCCTAGAACTCTGTTGGGTTGACACTGAAGACTTATCTTGCTAAATATTATTTATTATGATCACAGATTGCAGGACAGTAAAACACAAGTGATAGAACTGAGATTTGCTGAATATTGGAGAATTTTAAAGGTGGTTAGCACAGAATGAAGAGAATACAGCCAGAGAACTTCTCTTCCCACAGCGACTTCTTCTGATTCCCTTCATGTGACACATATTTATATATCTGTGTGTATGTACACATCCACACCATCTGACCTTCCAGCTACCCCAAAGCATTGCAGTGGCCATGGAAATAGGGCCAGGGATATGAAGTGGATTAATCTGTGAGGGAGCTGCTTGTGAGTGTCAATCCAACCCAGCTGCACCAGCCACAAACACCTCGCACAGCCTCCAGCACCTTCCTGAATTCCCTCCTTCCCCCCTGTTTCCATTCCAATGCTGACACAGAGTTCAGACTCTGGGTGTGCCCCTGATGTGATTCCTCACTCACACAGCCCCAGAGTGGAAATTCCATATTTCTTTAACGTTCTGTTCTTCCTTGGGTGCCTGTTTTGTCTTCTCCAGGTCTCCCTGTGTCCCTCTAAGGGGTTCAAGGTCTGTCCCTGCCCACCCCTGCACTTTTTCCCTCGTTTCCCTCATTGCTTTGGACACTGGTGCTTTGCAGCCTTATTTGCAGTCCCTTGATACTTTTGTTTGCATTCTCTTGCCATTGATGTTTAATGAAGGAAGTGATATTATGGTATTAGAAAAACCCTCTACACAAACAGAATGAGGTCACTTTAGGTAAAAGAAAACCATCTTAATCACAGGAAGAAAATGTGTGAGAGAGATTTCAGACAGGGAAAGCCAGCCAGCCTTTTCAGCCTTCTCTAACTTAATAAATTAATAAACAGCTGTTTGGCTTTTCAGATTTTCTCAGCAGTAAGTGTTGTTAATCAATTTTTAATGCAGCAATTAAAAAGATATGAAAGCTGCTATCCAGCTTTCACCAGAATAATTGATTTCCGTATGACCTTAACTATCTCAACTGTTCTGCTTCAGCATAAGAGCTCCATGGAGATAATATGAATAAATCCAACGGAAGTCAGAGGAAAACATAGCCATGTTTATTTTAAAAAGTCTTCCAAAATGTTCCTGGCAACCTAGTGGCTCTCAAAAATAAGGCCACTGGGTATTTTAGATGGCAGGCATTTATTCTGCCTGCATATTTATGAGGAATGCAAATAAAAACCCATCTGAAATATCTGGCACCTAATGGGCTGCAAATAATGCTTTCCTAAGTCCAGTAAGAGTAAGCAAAGTGAAGCAGTAATTATTTGTGTTTAAACATCAGATCTGCTGAACTTTTCAGTTGAAATTCAAGTCCATAAGCACAGGAATTCCCAGGTTTGGAGTGCTGTGCCCTGGAATTGAGGCTGGGATTGCAGAGCACCCAGAGCAGTGGGCCCAAGGTGCCTGGGGGAACATCCCATGCTTGGGGTGAACAGGAAGAGAGAGGCTTTTATTGCATCTCAGCTGGGTTTTAGTGGAAGTGCCAAAATGAGGAAACTGGTCTCTGGGTTGAGTTTACTCCCTGAGGATGGGGTTGGTGGTGTTCTCATGCAGTCAGTGACTGAGATCAGAATGTGCTCACAGACACCTGCAGAATTTTCTCCACTCCTTGAGATGCACTCAGAAAGGATTTAATCAGAGTTTAAGCTCCAGAGGAGGCCCAGGGTGCTCTGCCTCCTCCTGTGTCCATCCCCATGCCTGCAGCTCTGCTCACAGATGCATTACAGGTGAAATGGTGCTACTGAAACATTCTGCTTCTGTTTTCCAGGTAACTGCATTTTGTGATGTTGATGAAAAGAAAATAACAAAAGGATTCTACACCTATGAGGAATCTGAGGTGAGTTATAAGCACTCTTGTGTTCTTTATTGTGATCTAGAAGTGTCCTGAGGAATGTGATGAAGGAATTTGTCACTGATCCTGTATGTTGTGTAGCAGCTCATTTTGGCAGAGAGGCTGTGACAGAAGATTGGAGGGCTGGGAATGGACACTGGAATGCAAACTGGAGCCAGGACTGTCAGCTTCACACTCAGTGAAGTCAGTTTAGAAAGACAAAAATACTTATTCTGAAAGGATCCTGATGATGGGGTAAAACAGTCTTCACTGGCAGGTGTGTCTTCCAAATGGGAGTAGAATTTGGTTTATGGTGGATAATGGGAAAGAACCCTCAAAATTAAAAGATTTCCAACAAGTTATCTTGTGAATCAAATTACCCTGAGCTTGCCAGATCCTTGTATCTGAAGGGAGTGGGACTGAGGGAAGGAGGGACAGGAGGGCTCCTCCTCAGGTACAGCTGGTGCTCAGCCTGGAGGAGCTGTACAATTCCATACTGGGAAAACACGGACTGCTTTGAGCTCATGGAAGCAACTGGGAGCAGCATTTCAGCCTGGAATACTGAGGACTCACTGCCCAGTATGCCTGACACAGATCCTGGGCATTGGTCTTCCTAAAACAAACCCATTTTCTCAGATCAGCTGTAAAGAAGATTGTACTGCAGCTGTTGTGAATCCTTAGAAGATCCTGCAGCTTGGATCTGTGGTGAAGTCCCAGCTGAGCTTTAGCCCTTTAACAGCTCCCAGCAGGAAGGACAGATCCTCCTGTGTCTCTGCTCTTGTGCCTGTTCTGATGCTGTCTGAGGGCACAGGAATGGATGCAGTTCACTAAAATGGCAAAAAATTAACCAAAAAAAGAGAGGAACATAGTTCGTTATGGGACAGGCCATTGAAGCTGCACACATTGCCATCAGATCAGAGGGAATTGTTTGGGAAAGGGCTGGAAGTAGAACTTGGAGACAAGGAGGAAGCAGTGGAGCAGTGAGAGCTGCTCCTCTCAGGAGCAGAAAGCTCCAAATTGAGGAGCAGAAAGCTCCAAATTCAGATTTGGTGCAACTTCACTCAACTGCACTGCAATGTGACGGGCAGGAAACACAGGCAGAGAATGAGCAAGGTCTCTTCAGCATCACAGCTCAACACATTTTTTCCCCCTTTTAGAGTTCAGCAGCTCCTAAAACCAAGCTAGCAAGTAACCTGAGTGCTTCTGTACCCCTTCCTCCTGCAGGAGAGACCAAAACCCAAAATTCCTGTGTGTCACTTCAGGGACGCGGCTCCGCCCTTCGTGGTCTGTGTGAAGCTGGTGAGTCCCAGCTTTGGCTTCACCTGCAGGAGCAGCACTTGCTCCTCAGGAAAATGAGTTTCTGTTCACTGTAAGTGGCTTTTCCCAGCAGCTTTTGCTCTACAGTTGAATGGCTTTTGGTTTTTTTTTTTTAATCAAACTGATTGTGCAGGGTGTTTTGGGATTTAAATCAGCCAGTATTGGGTAAAATTAAGAATTACCCAGGGGCTGGATCTGTTGTACTTCCTTGCCCAGTACCAAATACACCCCAATGAGCACAGGCACTCAGCCTCCTCTGGGCCAGGTATTTTGCAGCCCCATGTATGGCAAAGGCTTTGTTTTTAAACTGCCAGAACCATTTGGTTTGGCTCTGCCAGTTCTGAATCATCTTCTGTATCTGACTGTGGTAAGTTATTTGAAGTGGTTTAATTGCCCTGATAATATAATTAGATGATAACCAGCAGTTTTTCTGCTGTTATAACACAGAAGCTTTAAAATAGCAAATACACTGGAGTGTTAAAAAACAATAAAAACCCCTCTGATAGCAACCAAAACCTGCACTCCACACAAAACTAAGGCTGTGCTGGATCTCTTCAGGGATGGATCAGCTGCATCTCCTCTCCTCTGGTACAGCCTGTTTTTAACTTGGCACTCCCAACCTCATGATCAACTCTGGGCTCCCAACTCGGGGTTGTAAAGCCAGACTCAGAGTGCCTTGGGGCATTATCCTGCACTCCTGCTTGATAAACTCTTGGATCAGCAAGTACTATTACAACTAATTTAATTTTTCATACTGCATATAACAGTGGGTGGAAGTCCCCAGACAAAACATCTGTGCAACCTGTTCTAAAGCACATTTAATCTGTGGAGCCCTTACAATGAGACTGTTATACAACATCTTGTCTGCAAACTCTGGTCTCTGACTTCAGTTGGGATTTCAGTCTGTTTTTCCCCTCATGGCCACTGAACATTTTCTGCTTGCTTATTCTCTACCAACCTAAGCTCATCACCATTTTCTGAAGAAGGAAGTGTGCTTTAAGGGGCTTTATTGGCTTTTATTTTGCTGTTCATGGTAGGGGATTATTTTTCCTTTTGATACAGACAAAACCTGCATGTTCCTTTGCAGCTCTAAGAGGGTGATTCTGGAGATTAGATGTGTTTATTGAGTGGGCTGTTTACAAGAATGACTCTCTTGGCCATGTGCTTGGAGCAGCATTGGCTCATTTATTTTTTCAGGCAGTTCCTCCCTTGTGAGCACTGGCATGGCTTTGGTACCACAGCAAATCCTTCTGGAAGAAGCAGGCATCCTCTGATCTTTGCTCAGTTTGTATTTTATAACAGCTTCACAGACAGCTGGGGCTGGAATTCTGCTCTCTGTGTTTGAGGTTTTGCTGAAGAGAATGAAAGTGTGGCTTTAGCTGCTCAGGGCCACTTCACCCCAGGGTTTGTGCCCCATGTTTGCTCTTGCTTGGAGGTAAAAGCAAAGTGCTTAGAAATGCTGCTTTGTGCCCTGCCTTGGCTTGGATTCCAACGGCTGCAAATGAAAGGGATTTTTATTTTTCTGTCACAGTAATTAAACTAGCTTGATTGTATAAAGTTTTCAGAAAATTTGTAGTTAAATCTCTTATTGTACAGCCCTGCCTGGCTTTTCCTGTGCTCTGGGAATTAAAGATTTGTCTTTAACTCTCCCACTTAATTTAGCATCTGGTCTCCTATTTATTTTTTAACCCCTCTGTAAAGCAGGTTATTTTTTTCCAACTCCTTCAATTCCAATTTCAGTGGGACTCCATTTCTGTAACTTCCCATCCTAAACATTGACAGTTAAAACCTCACTCTTGCTGTTCTGGGCCAACCAGACAAACATTAATTTTTGGTGTTTTTCTGGTGACATTCCTTAAGATCAGTAATTCAGGACTCCAGGAAGTGCTCAGGAATGCTGAAGTTGCCCTGTTTTCTTAATGACATCACTGAGGTTGCTCAAGGACCAAATGTAGCCAGTTCCTGTCCTGATAACTTGACTGAGGCTCAAAAGGAAACACCTTTAACTCTGCAGAGTACTTCTTGTGCTTGATGAAGGGCTTGTTTTATCAGACAACCTCCTCAGTGCTCAGAATCCACCCAAACCATTTGTTTTGTCCAGCTCACTGCCTTGGTCCATTTTCTGCCAATGTCTGAGCTGGCAAACACCAGAGCAGCACTGCAGAGTGAGGAGTTGTCTGATATGCACCACACTGATCTGAACACTACATTTTCAAAATACCCTGAATTTTTGAATAGAAACTTCCCTGAGCCTTGGTTTATTTGTTTAGTTCTGCAAATGGGACTTTCTTCTGTCAAAGAATCAGTAGCCCAAACCTGCTACAGCCTGAAATGAGTTTGAGCTCATTTTCTTCTTCTTCCCTCACAGGACTTGACAGGTGGAGCCTTTGAAACAAACCTGGCCATGCTGAACCTGAAGGAAGGGATGGATTATTATCACTTTAACTAAACCAAGGTGAGGCAGTGCTGCTCCCTGTGGGGCTGCGTGCAGGAAAACCAAATTCTTCAGGGGTTTAGAACTTTTTAGTCATTTGTGCTTTGTTAATTTAATCTGTGGGCTGAGTAACCCCTTTGTAGGGGAGGTCACAGTTACAGCAGGGCAATGCTGTGTGCATTACTCTCTGCTGTGCACATTACTAGTTATTACTGGGTTTTTTTTACTGTGTGCATTACTAGTTTTACTGTTCCAATCACTCAGTTTGACTGGTAAATTGTGATCAACAGTCAGTGAGCTCCACTAATTCCAGCTGCCAGTCCAGCTTGCAGGAATCCTCAAGAAGTATTGAATAATCTCATTTACAGTTACTTTCTACAAGACCAAAGAGAGTCTGAGCCAGCCAGGCTGGAAGTGAACACCTGCAGTTTGCAGCATTTGCTTCACAGAGAAATAACTTCCCTGCCTGAATTGTTCCTTCCTTTCACATTTGTAGAGATGTCTATACACACACCCACTGTTCAACTACTGGGATAGTGGGATTTAATTACAGCCATAAAATAACAGTGTAATTACAATATGATGTGGTCTGTGCATTTGACCTCCCCATCACATTGATCTCACTAAAGATGAATTTCAGAGTGATTTCGTTTTGTAGGGGGTAAGAAATGAGCTGGAGCTGCTTGAAGAAGTGACTCACCTTCTTCAAAACTGAGCTTACCACAAAAACTATTTGTCTGAATTAGTTACTTGGCATAGTTATTATTAATTATAAAGAGCTGTAAAGAGAGGCTTTGACATCAGCTGAAGTGAAACCTGGGTTTTTTTGTTTAATTATGACATAGGAATGACAGACTTTAACACAGGGACACTTGATGCTTGGGGATGATTTCAGTGTCACTGAGTGTTGCCATTCTCCCCCTCTGAAAAATAAATCTTCAAGAGACCAGTGCAGCAGGGCAGTTTAATTGTTGGTGTGTGTACAAGCACAGGCTCTGCTCAGTCAGGGAAGTACAGACCCCTGACACCAAACCAGACAGGTCAGTGTGACAGAGCATGACAAGAACCTGCCAGACAGCAACATTGAAAACTGAAAAGAAGGAATTTTGCTTGTCCTCCTGTGGCACATGTGTGCTTTCAGACAGGCTCTGCCCCTCCTGGCCAGCAGTGCAGTGCTCAGCTCTGCTGAGATCCAGCAGGATGTGTCTCAGGATGCCCCAGCTCAGCTCTTCCCATGCTGGCAGCTCAGGAGCTCCAGGGCTGCTCCTCCTCATGCTGAACTCTGCCAGGGAGAGAGGAAAAGGACAGCTCACATGGAGCAGGCAGCACTGTCCTGTGGCACTGCTGTCCTGGCACTTCCCAGCCCTGCAATTAGCTAAACCAAAAGAAAGAAAATACAAATATTTAGTCCTTTTAACCCCATGGTTTGAACTACCCTCCAGCAAGTTTTATTTGTACAAAACTTAAAGAAGCAGAAAGTATTGATTTCAGCTGAAGCCAGCTTCATTCTCCTTTTTATCCTGCCATGCCTGGCCTCCTCTCTGGCTTCTCCCACTGCTGGGAGCAGCACTGGGGACACGGGGACAGCTGGGACAGCCCCAACTCCTCAGGGGCACCCTGAGCTGCAAGTTACACTGACTGTTTGCTTATGTGCAGGGGAGCAAGAGGAAAAGCTCCAAACTGAGCACAAAACATCCAGATCCCACCTGTACCAGCTCCACTGCAGATACCTGGATGTGTATTTGGATATTTCTTATTGTTTTGTTTATCCTAGAGACAGTTCTCTCCTAAAGTATCAGTCTTCTCTCAGCCTTCAATAATTAAAGATTAAAAGAAGGAGTTTTTTTGAGATCAGAGAGTTTATCTGGTAAGATCTCTTATTTTGAGTATAATCTATCTATTACTTGATTAGAAAACTTTTAAAAGCAACACTCAGGTCAGTTTTTGTTCTAAAATCAATTCCTTGCTGGGCAGGAGGTTCAGACTCCTGTTTTCCAGAAGTATAAAAATGCTAGCTGAGGTTTCTTAAAATTGTACTAGAAGCAGATGGTGAAAACTGGAAGATGAGTGAAGACACTGCTAAGAGGCAGCAGGAGGTCTTTGAAGGGTATTCACAGTGTCTTAAGTATGAGTCTTTAAAGAAAGATAAATATTTATATATACACAGTAACACAGATTCTTTAAAACACTAAAAAACCTCTTCTAGAACCCCTACCAAAGCAGAAAGTTCTGTACTTCTGAAATACTGAGCTGGGTGGGCATGTCCAAACTACTAAAAATATACATTTTATATATATACACACACTTGATGGTTTTGTATGCTGTTCATCCACAGAGGCAGTGCTGCAATGCTGTGCTCTGCACCACCTCATGTCATCATCTTGCTGCTGAAATTGAGAAGTTCCTGTCTTTTCCCCTTCCCCAGGAAGGGCAGAGGAGCAGTGGCTGCACATCTGTGTCTGGAATGTGGCGCTGCCAGCCTGGAATGCTCTCTGGAGCGGGGCTGGAAGGGCCTCAGGCAGCAGCTCCAGCCATCCCACGTCTTCTGCAGCTGGCTGGGAACATCCCCAGGGACACCTCCATGGAAAAAGCACCCCCTGGAGCACATTCCCACCTCACCTTGGGCACCAGCTGGGGCCTGGGCACTTTCAGGAGGTCGCAGAGGCAGTTTCGTCTCTCCCTCACCACGGGCAGCTCTGCTTCCCTGGGAGAGCAAAGGTTATTTCCAGTTAATTCAGAAAAATCCATAAACCATCCACAAAACTCCCTCAGTGATCCCTGTCAGCCCTGCCCACAATGGCTGTGTCCTTTCATGCACATTTCAAATGGCAGGAGTGTTTTTGTTGTGTCACATTTGAAGGCTGTTGGACCATTTTTGTAGCACCCTAAGTCAGATAAATCACAAATACACACCAGATCTGCCACAGGTAACCAGTGGCCAATAAAATGTCCAAGACTATTCTTTCATAGGGTTTTATGTTAAAAAACTCCACTTATTTGTACAACTCTTTTGATTAGAAGTTAATTTAATTTATTCTCCAAAGTGATTGGATTTGGAGAAGAATCTCCCATCCCCTCTATAAAGAGAAGGCAAAAAAGGGTGAGTTAGAAATAACTGCAACCTTTTTTTTTTCACACCTTGGACAATTTGTCTTATTTACCACTGGAAACTTTCCTGTGGCTAAACAAAGTGTATTATTTATAGAGTAATTTGTTTAAACTCTGCATGACACAATTGTATGATAAAGTCTCTGGAGTCCCAACAAGGAAAATATAATTACCATACTCCTTCAAATTCTCATTTGGCTTCCTGCTGCTAATACTTAGGGTAATTCAGAATTTAGACTGATTATTTTAGCACTGGGAGAGCTTGAGGAAAACAAGCAGCTCACTGTGACACTCAGCAACAACTTCTAATCTCTTTTTCTGTAAATAGCTCAAATCTACCAAGATAAAACAATTACATTTTGAGTAAATGAGCTCTTTGTCTTTCATCTCAGAGCAGTGGCCACAGAGCAGCAGGGCACTCAGGGCTTGCTCCAAGCCAGAATAAGCCAGGCACACCCTAAAAATGACAGGGTGAAAACAGAACATTCATTTTTCTGGAGTGTTTTCCTGGGGAAGTGTTTTGCTTTGATTTAGGAACGCAGTTGTTCACGAGCACAGCTGAACTGCCACTGCTGGTCCTGTACCACTGGGAGTGCTGGCCCTGGACCCATCCCTGGGTGACAGCACTCAGCTCATCCTGCAGTGTCAGCTCACAAATTCCTCATGCAGTTCCTGAGCAAGCCTGCTCTAAAATGCAGGTTTGCTGATGGAGCTCTGAGTCACACCCAACCCAATCCTGAACTTCCACCTGCAGTCACAGGGAATTGTAACAGGCAGAGCTGCTGGCCACCACGCCTTCAAACCTCACTCTTGTTCCAGTTGTGCACTGGAAAATTCAGAAGAAGAGCAGCAGCCACCCCTTCTGATGATAAACTCAGCTTTCTTTTCACAAATATAAAGTTCTTTAAGCTCAAGCACAGAAATAAACTGGACACTACACAGAAGTCAAACAGTGTAACAGGAAATCTGCAACTCTGTCAGCCACCCTTAAGGTGTATTTGTTCTTTGAGCTTGTCTGGGATAAATTTATTTCCATGAAATGTCAATAAAGACAAAAAGCCATTTACTATAATGACTAAATAAATTATCTATTTTTCTATATTTGTCTGTTCTCTGTGACTCCTATTTGGGGCAGCAGCCCCATGGCCCAGGTCTGTGACAAGGAAAAATGTTTAACAAGGCAGCAAAACTAATAAAGTAATTATTATCTTAAAATTCTGAATTTTCTCAAACCTGCCCAGGTAATAATGCCCAATGCTAGAATTTGAAATAGAATTTGAATAGAAGGGGGAAAATCCAGTGCCAAAATGCTGATTCCCTGCTCCTGTCACTGCAAAGGTGCTCATGAAATTATTCCTTTGCTCTAAAAGTCACTGGATCATGCTTATAAAGAACTGCCCCTGGAAGGAGGTAAGTAAAAAAAAATAAATTGTATTCTATGAAGTGTTTGTTTAATTCATGCCATCCTATCCTGGGAAACATCTAAACTGCTCCAATTCCAAATCTTTGCCTGAATACAAGGCTTGTAGCATGTTGAGTAATTACATTTCATGGGAGATTTGAGCTGTTCTGCTAATTCTGTTGTTTTCCAGCTTGCAGAGATCCTTCCTTTCCCCAAATCCTGCCAGTGCTCATAAATGCCAAGAAACTGTCTGTGCAGTTGAAGTTTGACTGTTTGCACAGCCCAGTCTCTGCTTCATGGAAAACTTCCAAGATTTCCTCCCTTTTTATGTTGTTAGAAAAATATGGCTATTTTACTTTATCTGATGGTGATTTTATACATCCCCTTCCAGTGGCCAGCGTCCTGGAGAGCTCTTTAGACCAGAGGAATTCCTTGCAGCACTGCTGTGGTGGAAGCAATAAAGAGCTGAACCAATAAAGAGCTGAACCTGTCACTCCTTACAGCCTCCTCCCCCCAGCTTTCACAGGCACTGGATTTTGGTGACTCCAGGGCACAGGGGCTGTCCTGGGCAGCACAGCACGCACCAGTTGGTGTCACTGAGGATGGCCATGGCCTGCTCCAGGATGGCAGGGTCCACCACGTCGCTGTAGGTGAGCAGCATCTCGTACACCTGGCTGGCCGTGGTCTTCCGGATCTGCAGGGAGGAGAGTCAGCAAAGGCCAGAGCCACAGGGGCTGCTGAGGGCAGGGACCCGCAGGGACCAGCCAGGCCAGCTCCTGGGACCAGCCAGGCCAGCTCCTGGGACCAGCCAGGCCAGCTCCTGGGATCAGCCAGGCCAGCTCCTGGGATCAGCCAGGCCAGCTCCTGGGATGCCCAGGCCAGCTCCTGGCCCTGCACAGGACCATCCCCAGAAGTCACCCTGTGCATCCTCGGTGTCCAAAGCAGCCTCGGGTCCTTGTCCATTCCCTGGGGGCCTGGGCAGTGCCCCACAGTGGAAACCCACCCTGAGGATCCCCCTGAGGGGGAGACCCCTAAAAAATTTTGTGCTAGGATTGAGAGATGAATGGAACTTTTGGGTGTTTTGGTCTTCAGGTTGTTTATTCTTCTCTGATCAAGAGTTCAGCACGCCGCCTACATCTCAGTGTACAAAGAGAAGGCACCTAAAGTCACCAGACACACAGGTTCAAGGCAGCCTGTGTCAGGGGGCAGCACTGCAGAGAGCAGATCCTTGAGAAATAAACCCTGTTCTAGACATTAATACCTGTTAAAAAGAATGCTGCTTTAACACACTTGGAATTATTTTTCATTTGTAAAGAATAGAGCTGATAATGTGCAAAGTCTTCAGTACTTACTATAGGGAAGGGATGGCAAAGGAGGAGAAACAACTGGAAGAAAACTTTCTCTCTCATGTCTCCTTGAAACTGAATCAGGCCACAAAATCTAGAAAATATCAGAAAAAACAGATCTTGTGTTATAACTGCACAAGTAAGTTTTGAGAACTAGGGTGAAGATGGACATTGGGAAAAAGGCAGGGAGGGGAAAAAGAAAAAGCAAATTATTCCCTTTTTTTTCTTTCTCTACAAAGAAAAAGCAAATTATTCCCTTTAAGCACCTTTAGGACTGTAAAAATTTTAAAACTTGTTCAACTTTATCAGGTCACATGTTTCACTTCAACCATTCAGAACTATGAGACTCCCACAACTTTCAATCACCTTTCCATTTAAATTCCACAAGAACCAGACCTCACTGTTACATCTGGCAAGTTAAATTCTCTTCACTTTCTGGGAGGAAAGTGATTTCATTAACTCACACTCCTATGCTGGAGCGAAGCTTCCGGATGTCTTTGGACCTTTTGATCTCTTCTTTGCAGAGGGTGAACAACTTCACTGGGAAGGGATGGCTGAAAATGGAAAAGAAAAAAAGATCAGTAGTTTTCAGCAGAATTTCAAAGACATTTCATGACTGTCAGGATGCCAAAGTCACATTCCAAGGCAAGGCAAGACACACTGCAGGGTGGTTTGTGCTTCCCCCCAGCAGCTCAGGAAGGTTTGGCCATCACATCCCTGGGCCTTTTGTTTTTTAACAAGAGAGGGAAGAAATGATTATTAATTATTTCTATTGCTCTTATCTGTGTGCTGAGGAGTGAACTCCTTTTAGCCAAACAGGTTCAGTCCATGCAGGATAACTGGCTCACCAGTTGTGTTTAAGCAGTGTGGAATGATCAGAGATACTTTGTCAGGAATTACATTATCCTACAGCCAAATAACATTTACTTAGCCTGTGTACCACCATGGCCACTCCCTGAGGTCTCCAACCAAACTTTACATAAAAGGGGATGAATGTTGTTCTTAACTACTCCACCATTTCACAGCCCAAATTCCTTCAGTGATTCCAGACAACGTAATTAAACACGGGGCTCTCAGTTCTGTTACGTGTACAGCCCATGAAGCCATCTTTAAATATATTTAGCAAATTCTTTTCTTTTTCCACACAGTCTGGGAAACGTGACTCTCACAGCTCTTTCCCAGACACTCGTACAAACACAAGTACTGTTAGTTATTCCAAGGATCTATGAAAGAGAAGGAAAGAGGGACTAATGCTTTTATTTCAGTTCAAATTATTTAATCTTTTACTTGCCACACTCAAGGCTGAAGTGCCATAGGTGCAAAAGAAACTATTTCATATTTGTCTAGTGAGCACAATAACTCCTAGGCTGTGTATTTTGGAAACCTCACTGCATTGTGTATGGAAAGCTGAAAGCAAAAATAGTAACATTCATTTTCTGCTACCACAATTCAGAGCTGTGGATAAAAACTACTGAAGAAAGCTGGGTACTGTCATCTGTTGAAGGGCAGAACATTTAAAATAAGATGTTTATAGGAGTGCCAAGATGTTTTGTTAAGGTAACATGCCTTGTTCTGTAGAGTTTTCCAGACAAGAGTTAGTGGTTTT